GTGCAACGCTGGTCTCAGAGTGGGAATTGCCAGGGAAGTGAATTGATATAAAAGGGAGAAGACGGAACACTGGGGACATCACAAACTGATTTCAAAATATACTAGAAGTAACAAAAATAGACACTTAGACCAATGGAATGGAACAGAGGACACAGAAACAAATCCAGGCAAGTAGAGCCATCTGATTGTTGGGGTCAAAAACACATATACTGGAGAAAAGACAACCTCTGTTTCTATCGGGATGTCCCTCCAAAGCCTCGTGAGCGTACAGGTGGGGCTTCTGAATGGTGACGGATCAGGGCATGCTCTAGCTAAACGTGGGGTTAGGAGGTGGGCCTGGCCCCAAGAAGAAGGTCACCAGGGGCATGAGCTGGTACGGTGTACCTTCCCTTGTGCTGTCCTTCATTCTCTGGTTCCTGGCCACCATGATGTGAGCAGCTTTTCCTCCACTCTACCCCTCTGCTGTGCCATTCTGCCCTGCCCACATGCTAGCTGACTACAGATGAAACCTCTAAAAATTGTGAGCCAAAATAAACCTCTCTTCCTTTGAGGTGTGGGTGCTGTGTAGTGTGTCTCGCAATGAAGAAGACTATCACAGCTTCTTTAACAAATGGTGCCGGGAAACCAGACATCCATGTGCAAGACTGAAACCAGATCTCAAATTTCTCACTCAGTACAACCATCAATTCAAAATGGCCACCCCCCCGCAAAAAAAACCCCTTAGATGTAAGTCTGGAAACTTTGAAACTGCTAGGAGAAAACTCAGGCAACACATTTGAAATCATAGGTATAGAAAAAAATAGCAACAACCAATAAACTAACCCTAACCCTAGCCCTAATCCTAGCCCTAATACTACTATTCTTAGCCCTAAGTTTCTATGCAGCAAAAGAAACAATGAACAGAGGGAAGAGACAAACTACAGAGTGGGAGGAAATCTTTGCTAGCTTCTTTTTCTATGGATCATTAATATCTACCATATAAAAGGAACTCAAAAAACTTAACATAAAAAATAGCCCAAGCAATAAATGACGTATCAATTAAAAAGAGACTTCTCAAAAGAAGTACAAATATCCAATATATATGGAAGAAGTTCAATATCTTTAGCAAATGGGGAATGCAAGTCAAAACTGTACTGAGATTTCATTTCACCCCAGTCAGAATGGCTATCATTGAGAATATAAAACAAAACAAAAACACCCATTCCAAAGATAACTGTCTTGACACCAAATGGAGCTCTTAAAGTACAGAGGGCCAGCCCAGCCTGCCCTAGCCATTGCTTCAGGTCTGCACCCTTCCCACCCTTGAGCCTGGATTGCAGTCAGTTCCCTTTGCTTAGGGACTCTTTCTTCTTGATGGTGTCCTTGTGGTACAGGTGGCAGTCACCAGCCCACTGGCTGCACCACCAGGGCTCACCTTGAGCTCAGAGCTGAAATGCCCTCATTTCTCAGATGCCGAGAGACCACCGGACAGAGTGCCGAAGGCAGTCCTCCCCTTTCCTGGGAGGTCAGTGGCCACACTGCTCCCTCCTGGTCAGAACTGAGCTTCTCAGGGCTCTTCAGCCCCAGCACAGCCATCTAGGCCACAGGAGCCCTGGGACATACCACTCTGCATAGGAGACTAACTTGAAACTGCACTGAGCAGGCTTCAGATCCTATTGATTTGGCTCAGAATTCAGCTACTGATTAAAATTATGAGTCATTTCAAGGACTGTGTGGGACTTGCTAACTGAGCCTTCTGCTGGTGGGTGGAGACAAACTTCCTACGTCAACAGTCACAACTGTGATCTAAATGACCAATGAGATTATGATATCTTTAATAGCAAGAAAACACTACTACTGAGAAATTATGATGGTGCAGCCATTCTCCAAGATCAAACATTAGCCAAAGATAATACAGGCGGATTGTTAGCTACGACCTGCGAGATAACACAGGTGGCCTGTTAACTGTGACCTGTCCTTCCCAAGAAAGCCTTGTTCCTCCCTTTTACAGTCTGGCACGTTAGTGCCTCAAGTCCTGCTAGTCCCTACATCTTCCTTTACCCCCTTGCTCTGTTGTATAATAAAAAATACTCACTAATCCAGAGTCTGTGGTCTTAGGCAGGAAGAGCTAAGATCAGGTGGCCTTAGCAAGGAGAGAACTAAGATCAATTCCCAGTCTTCCAAGTAATAAACTATTGTTTGTTCTTTACTCTTATTTGTTCATACTCTGCTGTACCCTCCCTCAATCAGGCGATAGGGCATCACCTGGTAACTCTGAAAGGCCCAGTTCTAACTCTGTCTTCTTGATGACACAAAGCATCTCTGCTCTCCTCACTGCACACACCCGCAGAGGAACAGGAGTCCACAGGATGTGCCCAGTGGAAAGGAGATGAGCCACTGTGTGACTGTGCCCCACAGGGAAAGAGGCAGTTTCCTTCTTTCTGATATGAGCGGCTTTCCAAAGGTGAAAGGGCCAGTTGAAGCCCTTGACTCATCACGACCAATGGGCCTTCCTGAATTTCCTCCCACGCTCCCACAAACGTCTGACAATGAACCTATTCTCCCCAATCTCTTCTGGCCCTCAGATCATGCAGGAGGGTTCGCTTGCTGGTACCCTGCTAGGGTATCCCTTGAAACTCTACCCAGTGCTTGTCTGGGTGATCATCTCCCTGGATATTTCTACCAGATGCCTCACTGTGCTCCTGTGGTCTCAAGAACTCTAGGTTCAGCTTGTTTTCTGGGGCTCTGGGGTTTGTCTTTCAATGCTGGCAGCATTGCCTGACTTGTTAAGTCCCTGTGCTCAACATCACTAAATTTCCAGGTTTTCCATGAGACCTAAAATGCAGCGCTGAACTCTGAATGTAAACCTCACATCTGTTTTCACAAGGGGATCCTTAACACAGTGAGTGTGGCTCATCCCTCCTCTCCCAGGCCAGAGTGACAGAGGTGTCCTCAGTCCTGGGTGGCCATCCCGGGCCATGAACTGCTTCACCCTTTGCCCAGTGTGTTGTGTAGGTATTTGCACGTTCTCTGGGGCTGGTTAGGAAGGAGGTGACACATGCGGCCCTCGGCTGGGCAAGCATTCCCCGTTTTGCAGGGGGCTGAAGGAAGCCACCCCAGGACCCGTCCTCCTGGACCTATCCTCAGCTGGACTTCTCACTGACCTGGCTGCCAGCTGCCAGGGGCCTGCGAAGTTCACACATCTTTGCACCAAGCTCCGCTCACCGGTGATCTTCTGTCGCCTGTCTCCGAGAGTAGGTGCTCTCTGGGCTCTGGGACCTATGCGCTTTAATGTGTCAGGACTCAGGACACCTGAATTAGGGAAACCTATAGGTTTAGAAAGGTATTGTGGGAATATATTTCTAGTACCAGCAAGCTTGGTTGACCAAGAGCAGGGAGAATATTCCACATGCAAGGAAACATTTCCTGTCTGGCTTCTCGCCATGACCCAGGGGTGTCACCACTTGCGTCTCACCGCCTAGTGTAAACAGTGGGGGCAGGAGGGGCAGGTGCAGGTGGCAGGGTCTTACCCAGGGCATGCTTTACGCAGTAGAGTTGCTTTGCTTAGCTTCTGTAAGAACCAGTAAGTTTGCCTTCGTTATTATGTTTCTCATGCTGTGCATAAAACATAATAGAATTTCCAAGGAGGGATAAAACCTGTTAATTTCCGAAATCATCAGTCTAGGACTGAGGTCTTGGAGGTTAAAGGTCTCCCCGCAGACCAGCCAGGGCATCGGCTAGTCCTCCGCTTGAGCGCGTCGTCTCACATTTGGCCCCGACAAGAGCTCAGTGTGGTGGGATTAATCTCAATCTTTGCCTTTTGAATTTAGATGATGGTGTCTGGAACTTACTTTTTGCTCAAGTATGTTTTTCTTTTACAGAGAGTTTGAGAAAATATATTAAAGGAACAGAGCTCTTAGCCAGGTGCTGTGGTGCACGCCTGTAATCCCAGCTATTTAGGAGGCTGAGGAATTCAAATCCAGTCTGGGCAATTTAGTGAGGCCCTACATTAAAAAAAAAAAAAAAAAAAAAAAAAAAAAAAAAAAAAAATTTAAAAAAGGGCTGAGGTTTAGTTCATTTGTGGAGAACTCAGCTAATACCTTCAGTTTAGTCCCCAGTACCGGCTGGGGGATAAAAAGGAAAGATGTTGGCTCTGTACTACATACATAGCGGGCGTGTAAATGAATTGGAGGCACAGTAAATATACTGGCTCTTCCTTCCCTGACTCCCAATCACGCTGCCCTTTTCCACAATGCCAATGCCATTTAGCCGTTTCTTCCTTAAACAAAGCACTTCGTACCTACATCCAACACTCCAAGTAACTCTCTGAGGTACAAATCATTATGAACATTCCCAAATTATGATGGTTCAATTTAGGACTTTTAGTCTCTATGTCAGTTGGTACATTCAGTAAAAACTAAAGATTTTAGTTTTTTGAGACAGGGTCTCACTGTGTAGTTGAGACTGACCTGGAACCCATTATATAACCTAGACTGGTCTTGAACTGACAGCGATCCTCCTGCCTCAGCCTCCTGAGTGCTGGGATTACAGGCGCACGCCACCACACCCGGCTACTACTTAAGATTTTAGATTCTGATCTTTTCTTAGGTTTTTGACACAGAACAACCATTCTGTTTCTCCCCTTGAGTACAGAATGCCATCATTTGCATGAGCAGTTCAACCCTGTATTGTAAAATTGGCTTTGTGTTGGATGGTCTACCTCACTGTAAGCTAATGTGAGTGTCCCAAGAACATTTAAGGTAGGCGAGGCTGTTGGAGGCATTTTCCAGTTGCAGTATTTGCAACTTACACTGGCACTTTATAGGGGCCTGATCTCAGTGTAAATCAAGTTTCATTGGTATTCCCATTTTACAGAGGAGGAAACTGAGGGTCATAAGGATTAAGTAACTTGGTCAGTGGTGGTAAGGTATCTGATTCCAAGGGTGAAGATCAATTTACATCTCAAGGTACCGTGACTTCTTAAGGCCCACCCTCCAATTCTGCCGAAAATGCTTGTCTACCTGCAGAACTCCCCTTCCGACGCCGGCAGCATCAGCGAGGCCACAGGGTTCTTCATCAGGTCGGCCACCACGGGGTCCTTGGCGGTCACGTAGAAGAAAGGTGTCCCTGTGCTGTTGTTGAAGGGGCCGTCACTGATGAGCAGGCAGCTCCCAAATGGCAGTCCCTGGATCTAACAAATACCAAAAAGCCTTCTCAGCTGCAGAGCTGTGGACCGACGCACGCTGGGAGCTGACCCTGTGTCTCTAGCCAGGAAGCACAACGCTGGGGACCTCGTGGGGACCTTAGCATCATGGGGTTACGGCAGGGACTCAGTTTAGGCAAGACGGTCTGATCCATCTGGGTCACCAGCGGCAGCTCTAGGGTTTCTCTGAGGGGCCGTGCAGCGGGGGAGTCACTGCTTGGGACTTACGGGACTGTTCTTGCAGCTGTCTCTGAACAGCAAATGCGCAGTTCTGTGTCACCCTGTTGAATTTAACGTCATTTGAGGGAGGGGCGGTGACACAGACGGGTGCTGGTGGCGCTAAGCTTTTCCTATAAGCTGCCCCTTAAATACTCTTTACCTGCACTGACTGCCCACCAAATTGGCAACTTCAGGGATAAAATTCAATTCTTCCTTTTAATGTCTTGATTGGTCTTTAATGCCAGGAAAGTTCTATTATTGTTTCTTTTAGGGCTCCGCTGCTTTTTAAATTATTAGTTGTATTTTTATTGTAACAAATAACATTTCATTGTACAACTCAGCAAGTTATAAGAAAATGGTTTGTTAGCCATTAGCACAAAGAAAGTCACAAACATACAAGAGACCCAGTTTTCTTCGTGATCATCCAGCAGGGTGGGTGAAGGGAATATATAATATCTCTGTAACTTCAGACAGAGACTGACTACTGAAGTCTTGGCTTTTTCCAAATCCTGCTAATGCAGCACATCAACCGTCTGTGACCTTTATCCCTTACACAGCACACCTCACTGTGAGGCTGATGCAGGAGAATCACAAGTTTGAACCAGCATGGGCATCTGGGCAACTTAGCAATACCCTTTAAAAGGAAAATTTTAAAAGGGCTGAAGGATGTAGCTCAGTGCAGAGATACTAAATCCAATCCTCAGTACTTCAAGCAAACAAAAACAACAGGGAGGCAGTTTGTCCTCACTTAGCTAAGAATTCAGGGCCTATCTTTGCAGTCTTGCGTGGCAACCATGTAGAAGACTGTAAACAGAAGGACTTTAAACTTCTATTTATTTTTATTTTAATTTTTGGGGGTACTGGGCATAGAACTCACAACCTTGTGCTTATGAGGCCGGTGCAGTACTACTGAGTTAAATCCCACATCCAAGGACTTTAAACTTTTAAGAACACAAAATACTCAGGAGTCCTCCAAAATCGTATCACCACATCATTACGCACAGATTCTGTTCTCACCGTGTCATAAACTGCTCTCCTGTGTCATCCCAGGGGGAAGGAATCAGGTCTACAGGTGGATAGAAGCTTCACGTGCTCAGTGACACACAAGTCACTCCAGCCTTTAGGCCCTCTGCATAAGCCTTCTTTCTGTCCAGAAAAATCAGTCCCTTACCCTCCCCCCTGTAATGGGGACCGAACTCTTGGCTTTCACACTGAACTACATTTCCCACCCTTTCTTAAGTTTTTAATTTTGAGACAGGGTTTCGCTAAGTTGCCCAGACTTGGCTGGAACTTGCAATTTTCCTGCCTCACCTCCCAGACTGCTGGGATTACAGTCCTGCACCCCAAAGCCCAGTTGAGTTCCATTTTTGAAATGTAGATTTCCATCCAAGCACATCTCCTCGTGCACCTGGCTGGCATCAGTAGGGCAGGGGGATGTCTGGCGGCCTTGCTGTGAGCTGCCAGGGACTCCTGCGCCTACTCTGCAATTCCCAAGGCCACACTGACCCTTTGTCCAGCCTCTGGTCAGACTCGGGTTAACTGGGCATCTCTTTGGCCATCTCAAGTCAGGGACGTAGTCTCTGCCAGGAAGCCTGGTTGTCAGGTCCCCCTCCCCTGCCAGCGTGACCCACCCCCGCGCAGGCTGCTTCGGTGATCTGCGGGGCGTGGCTGGTCCACTGGTCCGTGGGTGCTGGCCCTCCGTACACACCGGTCACCGGCATGGGTGGCCCTGTCCCCGGGTCCTCGCGGGTCGTGCACGCA